CAGCGGGTACGACCAGACCCACTAAACATACAGAAACCAGTTCTGAGCCCTTGGGCTCCTGAACTGCGGATTGATTCAACTGGTTGCAAGGAGGTGGGGGGGGGGGGGGGGGCCCGCTGGCAGGAGGCCAGGGGCGGAGGACCCGTCGAGCTTATTCTGTGCCCTCTGGGTCGCTCTACTCGGGTTTGTCGCCGCTGTTCCTCCCTCCCTGTGTCCTTCCTAGTCCAGCCACCAGGGATGCCAGTGGACCCGCCCCAGGGTCAGGCTGATCTTAGGAGCAGAATCCTACCCGGTCACCAAAGCCCGCCCTCCGCAATCTGGCCTTCTGCCCCTCTCCACCTCCCTACCAAGCTCGGGACGAGTGACTGGACCCCAAATCAAATGCCTCCCCTGGATCTCCATCCCTCATGCCAACCTGGGCCCAGAGTCTGCAGTGGTACCCGAGGCCCCACCCAGCCTGGCCCCACCCAGCTCCCCATCCCTGTCTCCCAAGCTCAGCCTCCTGCCCTTCTCTAGCACCCCAGATCTTCCCCAACTAGAGTTTCCTTTTCTGGGAACACGCTTTCCACTGGACTGGCACGAAGTTGAATGTGATAGTCCACTGGGGGGTGAGTTTGCCGTCATTAGCATGATGTAGCAAACTGCCAAGGAGCCTCTAAGGAAATGGGCTTTTCATACCTGAACATCCCTGCCCTTGCCGTTGAACAACTTCAAATACCTTCATGTTATTCTTGGGGGTGTTTTAATTCTTCTGATCTTCTAGAGTCATGCTTTTGAAGGCATCAGGCATGCTTTTATCTGTCTCTTGTCAACCTGGGCCTAATAGCCTAACAAAAATTTTCACATCAGTGAACAACGTCTTAATATTTTATTTGGTCCCATCATTCCTATTCCTGTTTACCCCTACTTTTGGTTCAAGGTTGTGGGTTGTTTTTTTTTTTTTCTTTTTTCCTGTTTTATATAGTTTTGCAGGAAAATGGAACAAGTGAAATCAGGTTCTTAATCTGCCTTTTCATATTTATAGTCATCGTAGCGAGTTGCCATGGGGGAGGAAAGAGGATGGTGCCTTTGGAGCCTTTATTCTTAAAAGTTCTCTAATTTTGATATTTTTTGACTACATGCCTGGAGGTATCTCTGCCCTTTCCTGCAATCACTAGGAAAATGCTGAGAGTCGTATATCCTGCTGATTGTATCATAAGGCTCCAGGGCTGAGTGGAGCCTACAGAGATTTAAACCTCCAAGATGGTTTTTATAAAACCGCCATCAAATTCATCTAATGCTTTCCAAAATGAGCACCCATCCATCTCACTCTGGACTCCCAGCAGGTCAAACTAGGAGCCTTCGTTGAAACAGACTTGGCATTTAAATTAAAACATTTCCCAAAGCATCTTGGCAGACCTGTAACTAATGATGCCAGGAGCCCACGTCCTGTGCCAGATTGCTCTTTATCCCCCTAAATGTTTGTCTCCCACAAGCCACCGGTCACAAGCCTGCTGATGGTATAGCTGACTCCTTCATCACATAATCAGCCAGCCTGTGGGTACCATTTCTCCTCCATGTTCCTCTGACATGTGCAATTCTCAGCTCCCGACAGGCATTTTAATAGCTAAACTCAGATTTTTTCATCCCAAACAGCAGAGTAAGCATTTGTTTCTCCTCCTTGTTGTTTGTCTCTCTGCAGTTCCTAAATGATTGCTTTCCATTGCTCCTATTCCGTGAGCAATGTTATTGAAGAAATTGTAAATATTTTGCCAGAATTCTTGCTCAAGTGTTTTCATGGCATTGTAAAATTCATAGAAGTTAACGTTAGGAAAAGAGCCAAAATATCCTAGTCATTCCTCAGCAAATAGTGTCTAATAGGTCCTGCAGACAAATTTTCAGAGCAACGTAGTAAGAAAGGAGAAAGACATTAATAAAGTGCTCGTTCTGGATTATTCTTTGGTACTTAGACCAATTTGTTACATCCTTACAGACTAATGGTTAGAGTCAGATGAATAATTTGTTCAAAATGTTTAAAGTCAACAGAGATCCTTAAGTCTCATTATCTTGTCATGTCAGCAATACACAAAAAAATTGAAAATCTTTTCAATTTTCTTCGTATTTCAGTCCATCTCATCTTTTAATTATCATCGTCACCCCTCACTAAACTGCCTTCTATTTTATCTTTAATGCGATGCCTGGTCGGACATGAGCTGGTCAGCCTTCCTGATCCATCTTCCTTCCAGTCTTGCAAAATAACACTGATGCTGTTTACTGACTTCCTGCCGTCAGTTATATCCCCATAGATTACCAATTTCTATTTGGTTTCCAGTTCACAAGTTCTTACATTATAATTCCTTAAGTTTTTCTGATTCACTGAGCACTTGGTCTTCAGATTCTTTTTTCTTTCAATGTATTATGGTCATTTTCATTTCCCAAATATCAATCTCAATTTATTTCCTGTATTTCTCTAAAGATATGGTTCAACCTCAACCTTTGGCATCGCTGCTCCCCAGAAAGCAGGTGGCCAAATACTTTAAGGAACACATCGTGTCAATGCCCTGATTCATGGCTACCCATTCCTTCCTTAATAATCTGAGATGTTGATTTTAACTTGTTTTGCTCCTAAAGTTTGGGTTATGTTTATCGTGATCCTCAACAAGATGTAGTAATGGGCCCTCCCTGGTGGTGCAGCGGGTTAAAGCATAGCACTAAGAAGCTTAAGCCACTTCTGCATGAGTTCGATTCCTGCCTGCCCACCCCGGAGGTGACCACATAATGTGGCAGACCTCTCCTGACCCACCCGCTGCTCCCCTCAGCAGTGTACTTCGTTGATCTGCCTATTCTGCTCCCTGCTCTGTCTCTGGTGAATCCTCTCACCTACCACATCTCTGGCCTATACCCCAGTTCTGTATGAATAAATAAATAAATCTTTAAAAAATAACAAAAAAGATGTAGTAATGGCCTTACTTTTTGAGCATCAGGGAGACAAGTCAGAGCTGCCCCAAATTTTCATTTTCATATTCTTCCACCTATAGATCCTCCACCTATTTTCCTTAGCTCCATCTTCTACAGGTGACCTGGCTTGAAGTTTGGTCATGTCAAGAAGTTCTGCACTTGGGATATTACATCAATGATTCCAGCACTGAAGAACTACTATCTGAATTCACTCACTAAATTGGTCCCAGTGGCTACTGAGTTAGACAGTGCTTTTAAGCAAATGTGTTCATTACTGGGGATTTGATAAGATTATTCTATCAGCAAAAGTTATATGATTCATTCTGAGAATTACTATTTTATATCAACACTACTTTTGTAAATGCTCAAGCATTTTGACTGTATTTCTACTGTTGATACCTCTCTGCCTATCAGATGCCTATAGGAACCAGGTAGGTAACGTAATGAGGAAAGTTGGATTTGTTTCATAATAGCATCATCACCCACAGTTTTTCAACAGTGGCATTTGCATATTAAATAGAGAAGAATATGCTCTGTAATTCTTTAGTTTTCCAATTTTGAAATAGCTTTGGGTACAAGAAATATTTCACTTTTATCTTAACACTAAGAAAGACAGTGTGAGCCTAATAATAAATAGCAACGGACAGTCTCATGTGGGACAGTGATCTGAGGGGGGGCCCTCAATTAACCTAGTGAGGAAGGAATCCTGGCTCA